CACACACACACACACACACACACACAAAGAGAACAGACAGATCACAGCAGAAATGTACAACATAATCCATGACTGTATCATGCACATACTGATTTAAACAATACTTGTATATAATCTCTGACCTAATTTGTTTTGTACACTTCGAGCACACTCCCTGCATTCAACGGTCAAGTTTGTACTAACCCAGCAAAGTTATTTTTAGACATCCTAACTTTGCAAGGGCAAGTAAAAAATTGCATTCAGATTGGGGCACCCTAAAATGCAACATGACCGCAATCTCACTGATGCACCATGAGGAGGCTCGAAATATATATTAGGTTACAAAGGGCCTGTCTTATCTCAGAAAGTTAGAGTTCAGTTCTTTTAAAGGAAGAGTTAGGAGAGTGCTCATGGTTGGCTTGGTTAGAGCAATAAACTGGCTCAATACTACAATCACATGAACATAATACATCTTTTTCTTTCTGACCACATTGTAAGTGTGTCACTTTTGCACAAGATGCTCCATTTTTGGATTAATGAAAGAGAACCCAGCAAAAGCGTTCTGGTCCATGGAATCGATCAGGCCTTTCTCGCAGTGTGAGAGACGGGGTTTCTCACTCAAAAACTCCCGGTCAAAGTTACTGCAGTCATTTGGAGCTTTCTGCGATTAAATAAAAACAAAACAACGAAACAAAACAAAACAAAAAAAAACAATGAGAAAACGGAGAAAGACAAATAATAAAAGAATAAGATGCGAGTGGGAAAGCATACCACTTTTGGTTTGAAGGGGGGCTCAACTTCTTTCCTTTCTAAAACAGACCAGTTGACAGTCTTGAAGAACAGGTGGCCTCGTATATTACCCACAATCCCTAAACGGCGTGATGGGTCACGCTCAAACAGCTGTGAACAGATGAAATAAAGATAAATAGCGTAAAAGCAGAAATTTAATTTGTGTCGTTTTTAATGGTGTATTTGTGCACGTGTACCTTTTCTAGCATGTCTCGAGTATCCACTGTGATCCAGCGGGGATAATGAGGTGTGTCCATTCGGATCGATTCAAACAGCTCGTCCTCGTCGTCACCGTGAAATGGAGACTGACCAATCAGCATCTCATACACCAGCACGCCAAATGACCACCAGTCTACTGAGAATGAATACTGCTGACCCAGAAGAATCTGTGATTTCCACACACAAACACATCAGGTCAATACCAAGCTATTGTCAGTCCGAGAGTAAACCAATGCCAAAATGTGTTTCATACCTCAGGAGCAATATAATCTGGAGTTCCACAGAAAGTTGTGGCCCGATTTTCCCCAAACACATTCTCCTTACACATTCCAAAATCAGCTATTTTTATGTGACCATCTCCCTCTAACATCACATTATCCAGTTTGAGATCCCTGGCAAAAGGAGAGA